GCAGCTATTCAGGACCAACAAAAAAGAGACAAAAACATTGATCTTTGTGATTTCTGAAAAAAATAAAAAAGAAATCCAGGCTTGATATTTTCCAGAAGTGTTTACACAGAAAAATGTCTGAAAATCCTTTTACAATTATAATTGCTTTGACATTTACCCATTTGGGGGTTTGGAGAGAGGAGTACTGTGGATATTTTAAACTTGTTTCATGGCTGAAATATTGTACCTACCATAACCCATATATTAAATACAGCAATATTAGCTCCTTTATATAAATTGAGCCACCAACTTTTTCAAGGATGGATGGTAAAATGATCTAGAGATAGCATTTAATTATACTAACTCAGTTTATCTTCCGTATTAGTGTAAGAATTAGTTCAGTTAAGTGAGACGTGTTAACTCTCTTCCCCTGAAGTCATTAAGAGATAAATATTACCTCATGGGGAATTCTTAATTGTTTTTAGTGTCTTGTAGTCAATTCTCAGCTGATCTAAAATTCTTAGATAAAGATAAAGCTGACTAACTTCTAATTAACAATTCATGTTTAAGTTACTATTTGTGCATCCTGTTATGTGTGACAGAAAATGGCTCTCAGATTTTTGGAGGTATTGAGGAAATATTTTTAAGTGCAATTTTAATGTGAGTAGGGCACATACTGTACACTTTGATTCACCTTAAGCAAAAAAGCACTTAAATAAGTTGGCTGTTATGAGTCATGCTGGGAATAAGAGTATTCAAATTGTAGAAAAAAAAAACTGTTGCATTTTATCATGTTTCCTTAAGGGCGCTCAGCAATTTCCTTTATATGCCAGGAGCAAATATTTTAGGCATATGTAACACTTTTCAAACTGCCCAGTGGCAGAGCATTTTTAATTCAGTGGTAGTGGAAACAGCATTGAATTTAAAGGAAGTAATGAATTGGTATGACACTCAAAAGTTCATTTTTCCCTTTCTTATTGTATTCCCAAGAAATTTTAGTTGTATTCGCAAGTAAAAGTAAAAAAATAAGAAGTGTGAGACCAGCAGATGGCTTAATGGTTACATCACTGTACTTGCATGTAGTTGACCACAGTTTAAGTCCAACCCAGTGGCTTAAAACTCACTCCAGGAGTGTGTGTGTGCATGCCCAAAATCCTGAAAGGAGAGTGGATGAGAAGGGACTGTCGTGTGACCATCCCCACTGGGGGGGTGATTTCTCACATTCTGTCTTCCTGGCAAGTACACAAACCCTATAGCAAAAATCTCTCTAAAAAATAAAATTAAAAAAGTAGTAATACAATTGATAAAGGTATACTTTATGGATTTTTTAAAAAATATTCTTGATAGTATGTGAAAACACATGCACAAAGAGACTATGAAAGCTTCAGAAAGTCCACTAGTCAAGGAAGAGTCATTCCCCAATGAGAGCCATGAAAGCTCCTGCACTTAGACTCACAGGATGCCTACAATCTAGTCCCTTGCTGCCTGGAAGCTGCCTTGGATTACAGCTCTCTTTTGAAAGGATCATGTTTGCACCACATTTTGAGTACCCCTCATCCCTACACCTGAACTCTGAACCTTCAATGCTAACTCGTACCTAAAGGATAGCTTTCATAGAGCATTTTCAAGTGAGCAGAGCATTCTGCTGGTAACAACAAAAACAGTAACACTAAGGGCAGGTTTTGAGCACATGATATGGACTAGGACAACAACTCAGGGAATATAGTACCTCATTCCCATTATCTCCCACAAGGAAAGGGATTGAAAGGCAATGAAATCTTACAGGAAACTGTAAGAACTATTCTTTTTAGCTTCATTTCTTTCCAATGCTCAGAATTACAAAGCCATGGGAACTCTAGGTCTCCATGGTTTCTTTACCACTGCAGCCAGCACTGCCACCACCATTATTCCTGTCTCCATTGACACTGCACTTCTCAAATGCTTACACAGGATCAGCTAGTCTTATCTTGATGGTTAGCAAAGGAAAGCTATTCATATTACCAAAATAAGACTCCTATTATCATACGGAGCACATCTTACTTAAAATTTTATTACCATGAATATAGTTGAGAAAGTAAAACAAACAAAAAAAAATCCTGACTTACTATAGTCTAGAACTAGATTTTAAACTATTCTATCAGCTAGAAGTGAGAGTACTTTGAAAGTCTTTAGTTCTCTATTTTTATTTCTTTCTTTGTTTTAAAGTATTACCTGTAAAATAGAGGTGCTGAACCATTTTATGCTCCCTTTCAGTTCAAAATTTCTAGGTCTAGAACATCATGTTCTTTATTATAACAATTTTCTTAATGCATCATAAAAATTCCCAACAGGAACCTTCTTCCCAGGAAAGGAAAGCAAGTGAAAAAATCATAAACAATGAATGGGACTGTAAAGCTCATATGAAAAAAGATAATTACCACTATCTGAAAATAATCACTAGGAATGACCACATCTCCATTCTTCATCCAATTCACAGTAGGAACAGGCTTTCCAGAGACTGAACATTCAAACTCAATATCCATGCTTTCATAGGCATAGAGGTTGGAAGGGTGATTTAAAAACCATGGCGGAACTGCAAAGACAGAAAAAAAAAAGTGAGTGGGTGGGGATATGAACTTGCATGCTGAGGTCTTCACTGAGTTAAGTATACTGCTCTGGGACAGGAAATAGCTGTAATTCAAATCATTCCCTGAACACAGGAACTATTGTAGAATCCATTTATCCCCAAATGCAGTTAAACAGATGCAGTTAATGGTGTTTTGCCACAAGAAAACAAGGGGGGAAAAACTCACAGAAAAAATAACATATATATAAACACTGAATACCCAAGTATTTTTATCCAGCAGACCTACAGAACGAAAAACATATAAAGCTATGGAAATTATGCTGATGAAGTAAACAAAGAGAAGCTGACAGGACTGAGATAACTCAAAGTATAAGAGGAGAAAGACTTTAGGGTTTCATTAGGATTAATATGATGGACATTCTCTGTTGAAACTGGCTATAGTGATAGGGAAATAAAAATGTCTGTGTCATCTTTACTGTGGACACATTCCCATTGTTCTAGCAACTATCTATTGAAATGTGCTACTATACTGAATTATTATTTTCTCAGCCTGCTATATGATATACCAATTTAATTTAATTTCTTAATTACTATAATAATAGTTAGTCTATGATGGAAATTTGCAATCGAGGCTCAGGCCAGGGGGTGCTGCTCTGCTCTGCAGTACAAAACATACATAGAAGGTAGCATGGATCTCAAGGTCATCTGAAACACACCACACACATGCACCTGTGGTCCTGGCAGGCTAGAAGGAATTTCGGCATGATGAAATTCTATTGAGGGTGCCTATTTCACTGTCTCAGTCTCTCTCTTATATTAAGGTAATACAAAACTTTAAAAAAAAATACATTTGCAATTGAAAGAAAATGATAAATATCTTTGCTAATGAATCTCTCTGGCTCTGTCCCTCAAAACCTTGCCTAGGAGATGAAAATTTTAAGAGCCATGTTTCTCCGTTTCCACGGGGAAACTTAGAATGATGTCAGATTTGAATATTCATGTTGCCTGAGAGGCCAGATTAAATTTAAGTCAAATAGCAGCCACTATTTCATTTTACATAGAAAATGGATATGCATTTTTTCTTTCATTTATTTATTTATTTATTTATTTATTATTTTTGGCCAGAGGGTATGTGCATTTGCCAGAGAGAGAGAGAGAGAGGGAGAGCGAGCAACCCTCATGTGAAGGGATCATGATGCAATCCCTTCTCTTCCATCTCTCCCTCCTTTTTGGATTTTGAGCACTACATATATACACTTGATATTTCTTTCAAAGTGGACCTGGAACTTGAACCACTTGGTTAACAATGTCAAATTCAGTTACCTTAACCATCATACCATAGACAGGCCTGGATATGTATTTTTAGTAAACATTTTTAAAGTTAGACTATATTATCATTGTTGTATTCAATAAGTAATGAGTGCTAATTTTTTACTAATTAAAGTAACTGCTGGGGCCAGCAGATGGTATAGTGGTTATGTTGGTGGATTGTCACCGGGCCAACCACAGTTTGAGTACCAGATCCAATGGCTTGAAACTCATGCCAGGCATGTGTGCATACATGCTCAAAATCCTGGGAGGAGAATGGAGGAGAAGGGATTACTGTGTGGCCATCCCCCGACGGATGATTTTTCACTTTCCCTCTCACTGTCTCTGTTTTTCTGGTGAGCACACGCACCCTTAATGCACACACACATAAAAGATAACTGACATATTTTGTATTTTTCAAATACCATGGACAAAACTTTCCCCTGACCTCAAAGTGGATATTTAATCTTTGATAGTCACTGCCTTCTAGAAAATGGAAGAGCTAGTGGAAGGTTCGAAGATTTAAGACCTGTTTTTTCCTACTGAATGAGATCTACCTTCCCCTACTCCCATTTCTCTCTCCCTGTCATCTATCTCCTTCCCTCATCCCTGCCTTATTTTTCTGATTTGCAACTACATGTTTGGACCTCTAGTACCAGGCAACTTTTAAATTCTTTAATCTTTAACAGGAGCAAACCGATTTAGATGACTCAGTAGGGATGTGTTAATATTCATGGACCAAAGACATGAAAAAAATGTGTCTGAGAGCAATTCCAAGCAGAATATGTCCCCATTGTATACAGGGCTCTAAAATTATTTATATATTATTGATGATATTATTAGTATAATGCAAGTTTTTTGATTCCTTAGCAAAATTTACTAAGAATAAGCCAAAGACATCAGAAATATTTATTGAATGCACTTGAACAGATACACAAGTTAAATCTTCCCAGTTCTCAGATTTACCAGATTTTGGTGAAGTGTTTATTTACTAGCTAATAGCCAATATTATTAAGAGCTGATTTCTAAAAAAAAAAGTTTGAGCAAGCAGATAGCATAATGGTTACATTGCTGGGCTCCCACATAGTCAACTGCAGTTCAAACTTGGACCCAGCAGCTTAAAACTCATGCCAAGCATCTGGGCATGCATGCCCAAAATCCTGAGAGGAGAAGGGAGGGGAAGGGATTGCAGCATGGACATCCTCCCAGGGGGTGATTTCTTGCTTCTGTCTCTCTTTGTCTTTCCAGTGAGTACATATATCCTATAGCAAAAAATTCATTTAAAAAAAAGCTAACAATGTACAATGTATTAGTGTAAGCACTTCGTATTTATTATTCTCATGGCAATTCTGTGAAGCATTTTACAAATGAAGAGGTTGTGGTATAAGGTATTTAAATAACTTTTCCCAAATTATATAACTTGTAAATTAGGAAGCCAGACAGCTGACTTTTCTGCCTATATTCTGAACCTCTTGTAATTAGATCTATTATTTTTTTAGAGGTTTTTACTACAGGGTGTGTGCGCTCAACAGACAGAGAGAGCCAGAGAGACAGAAAGTGAGAAATAACCCTCCAGGGTGATGGCCACACCGCCAATTCCTTCTCCTCCGTTCTCCTCTCGGGATCTTGAGCACGCACGCACACACGCCCAGTGTGAGTTTTAAGCCACCGGGTCTGGGACACGAACCGTGGTTGACTACATGGGAGTCCGGCGACATAGCCATTATGCTAACTGCTGGTCCCCAAATTAGATCTATTAATAAAACAAAAACAAAAAACAAAAACAAAGAACAACAAAAAATAACTGTTGCCTTTTCTTTCTCTCCTTTTAAGTCCTTCTTTCTTAGAGTCATTAAAACTACTGGAGTCTAATCATCCTTTTGTGTTTGTGTTGATTAGAACTCCTGGAGTCAGTATGTGTATATCAGAAATCTTAAAAATTCAGTTACATATATTCGTAGATCTTGAAATTAATTTTAGCAGAAACTAAAATTTAGAAACACAAACACACACACACAGAGTACAAAAAAAAAAAAAAAAAAGGAAAGAGAGAATAGAAAGAACTAATGGATTAGGTGCACAGAAAGGGAAGAGACAATGAAGAGAACACCAAGAAGTAAAAAGGGAAGAGAAAATTCAAGAGCCCAAATGATAGAGATAGATGACTAGTTAAATTCCTAAATTTTTATCCACACAACTCTTATATACAATCTATGGCATTGAGACAAAAGTTCATAGTCTTTTTCTATTTTTTTTTTTTAGAGTTTTGTTTGTTTTTGCTTTAGAGGGCATATGCACTTGCCACGGAGAGAAAGAGAAAGATACAGTGAGAGGGAAAATGAGAAATCACTCTCTGGGGAAAATGGCCACATCTCAATCACTTTTCCTCCATTGTCCTCCTGGGGTCCTGAGCACACATAAACATGCACCCAGCAAGATCTTTAAGCTACCAGATCCAGGACTCAAACCATGATCAGCCATGTGGGAGTTCAGTGATGTAATCACTATGTCATCTGATGGCTTTCATTCTATACTTTCATCTTAAAATATTTCCCATTTTTATCCTAGAATGTAGATACCCTTACCTATCTTTCATGAAACAACTTTTCCAAGGAAGATATCCTAATTTTTTTCTTGGTATATATCTTTTCTCTTTCCTAAAACTCTGTGGTATTTGTTTTTACTGATTATGGCCCTTGATGTAGTTTCTTATGCTTTGTATTTATTTGTGAGTTTGTGTTAATTGTCATGTTAATCCTCAGGGGAAGAGGCTTACTCACTCTAACATGAGTTTATAACATCACTTAATACATTTTTGATGACTACACTATTCTACAAGAGGGTGAATAAATTAAATTGTTCTCGTTTAATTTAATTACCTTTTCATTTTTTAAAATTTTTTATATTTTGTGCTGAACAGACTAGGATCTGTTTATCCCATTTTAGGATTGCTACCATTAACAAATAATTTTCCATTTCTTGTTCTTGTTTCTTATATATTTTGCTTCTTTTTTTTTTTCCTCCCCTTGATTTCCTACCTCTCACCCGCTGCCATTTCCCACGCTCCTCTCACAGTCTCTGGAATCTACAGTTGCTTTTCATGACTTTTTTTATCCTCACATTTAATTGAGTCACAAAAAATCTTAATTAATCTAAATACTTTCAATAGCAAGTGCCGCTGACATATACATATCTATGAACACATGTTTGATTTAGGCTTAAACCTCCTGAGTCAAAAGAATATCCTATAAAGTAGCACCTAGCTGGGGCTATATAGCTTACTGCAGTCATTAAATAGGCATTTTTTAATGCATTTTTTAATTTCAAGAAAAACAGTTTTAGTTTTAACACATCAAAATAAAAAATGTTAAGAGACATTTGCCTAAGACTTAAAGCCATGAAAAAAGGTTAGTATTCCATTCAAACAGTAGGTAAATGAACCTATCAACAGTTTAAGAGAAGACAAACATTCTCAAATCTGGGGAAAAAAAATAGAAGAAAATCAGGAATGTTTTAGCCAAAAGTCTTAAAATTCTATTTCACCAGTTCAGTCTCATGTAATTAATCTTTCTTCTGTTGAATTTGCAGTGTTACTGTGGTCTGATCTTTCCATTTAAATTCTGGAAGGTAATATTCAACATTATTATTGATCTTTCTGGAGTTTTCC